AGTCGTCGTCCTCCTCCTCGCCGTAGTAGTCGTACTAGTAGTCGCAGTCGTAGTCGCAGTCATGGTCGCAGCCACAGTCGCAGTAGTAGTAGTAGTAATAGTAGTAGTAGTAGTAGTAGTAGTAGTAGTAGTAGTACTAGTAGCAGGAGTAGCACTAGTAGTAGGCGCAAGCTGAGGATCCAGAACTTTGGAGCTGTGGTTTGGAACTGGGGCTGCTGTTTAGGATGGATGCAGTGACTGTTCCAGACTACTGTTGCTGCAATGATCAGTTTTCGCAAGCAACTCATAGAATAGCTGTCATTTGGGATGCAGAGCCCGACACTGTACTGCGACGTCGACTGCGACGCCAACCACGACGACGACAACAACAACATCATCATCATCCTCATCATCATCATCATTATCGTCATCATCAACAACAACATCATCAAACACGGCACTAGCACAACAGCAAAAGCCAATACAACAGAGACAACAGCACAAACGACAACTACCACCTCCTGCTGCTGCTACTACTACTACTACTACTACTACTACTGCCATTACGACTACCACCACCACCACCACCACCACCACCGCCACCAGCACCAGCACCAGCACCGGCACGATGACGACTAGTACTTACTACTCCCACTACCAGTACCGGCACCACCACTCCTACTACCACGATAACTAACTAACTAACTAACTAAGTAGCTAACTAACTGACTGACTGACCGACTGACTAACTACCTGCCTCCTACTACTACTACTACTACTACTTCTTCTTCTTTAGTTACAACCGAGACCTGCGGCATCATACGTGCGCACGTGCCCGTCATAGTTCCTCAGGTTTTTGGTACGTCGCCTAGCGTAATTCCGAAGTTTTATCGCAGCAACCTGAGAATCTCCGAGCTCAGTTAGCAGGCCCCACTTGGTTTCAGCAGATTTGACAAGTAAGGCTATAAGAATCTTACTGGGGTTGTAGGTTTTTTTTAGCTCAAGGGCTACTTGGTTGGCAGCCCTGCTTGCTACGTCCCATGATCACTCAAGTAGCGAAACACCGAACGAGCCACCATTCCCCGACGATAGCCCTGAACGAAACTCGCCAAAGTCCGAAAGCAAAACATTCACACGCAACTCGAAACCTCGAAATCCCAAACCCTACACCCCTAAACCCTCAAGCTTCGGCCTTCGGGGTTGCAGCCAAGCAGCTGTCCAACGCGCTCTATCTTACCCAAGCCTTTTGTGCCGTCAGGATGCGAAAAAAGCAAATTTTGGGGTTTGGGTCAGGCGTTTTGAGCTCGAGTGTTACATGGTTCAGGTGAAGGCAGTGAAGGATGGTCGAGGGCCACAGGGTCTTGCCTCCACGTAACTCGCAATCCCAAATGCTGAGCTGGGGATCAACCTCAAAACCCCCCAAAACCTTGAATATCAACATGCGAGACACACAGTTCTGGTGGTTTCGGGCTTCGGGTGTAGGGGTGGGTCGGAGGCTTTAGGGTCCAGGGTTTGAGGTTTCAGGTTTGAAGGGTGGGTGCAGATAGCAGCTCTTGTTGGATGCCGTGTTTGTGCGGTTCCTAAACTTAGAGGTACCTCTGGACCTATTCTTTATTAAAGGTCAGGTCCTATCTGACATACCTCAAATCATACAGTCTTGGCGCCACATTAGGGTGTGGCTCTGTTTTGATGAAGCTCCAATTTGGGCAACCCAAGATGGGCTTTTGGAGCCGGCGGTCTAAACCGCAAGCCCGACACCAATCGAAAAGGGCCCCCAGTACAAACCTGACAGCGAGACCCCTGCACACTAGGAACCTAAAAAGAACCAGGGCTTTCTGAACCAGATTCCTCCACGAAAATCCTGAAAGCCTTTACAGCCTCCAGATTCGGTCCTAAACCCCATGCGCGAACACCCCAAATTCCTACACCGAAGCCGTAGACGAAACTGTGAATCCCGCCGAGGACAGGGCCAGCTTTTGCATCAAAGCTCTGAAGCCTTACTGTTATGGCTGAAACCCTGCGTAAACACCAAGTGCCATACACCATGTAGTGAAACTCTTTGTGATGGATCATGCCCTCACACCCTAAACCCCTTTTCTGTGAACCGCCATCGACTATAGAACTGCATACACCCTGATAGATCCTTATGATGGAGAATTCATAGCTTTGTCCGTGAAAGTCCTACATCTCGGCAACCCCTGGGGCCGCAGGCCTACTGCTTTGTAGTCTTGTTCAACTTGCGGCGCTGTTTCAGCTCCTGTGCCATCGGGCAGGGACTCAAATTTTAACCACCCTAGGCCTCAGGGTTCTCCAGGGCTTGGGAAGTTTTGGGCTTCGGGTTCTGAATTTGAAGGCTTCAGAGTTTGGGTGTTTGGGGCCGAGGAGAGGTTTTACGGCGGAGGCATTTCGAGGTGCAGGGCTCTTGGCTTTCCCAATCTGGAGCCTCGGCCTTGCATGAGAGTTCAGGGCTTGGGGATTTCATTTAGTGCTTCAAGGTTTAGTTTATGGTCTCAACTTTGAACCCGAACTCGCCACTCCCTGCGGAGGTCTTTACAAGAAGAGGGGAATCAAATGCAAAGGGCTTGCAAAGGACCTAAGCGCTGACCCGAATTCGGTCTCGCTAGGGTTCAGGGTTGTAGGGTGTAGGGGTGGAGCTTTATGAGGCACACATTGCTGAGTAATTATCCTGGCTCATGTAGGATCTTCGCCGTTTTGAAAACGAGACTTTTCCGTTCAATGGAGCCTTAGGACTTCTGGCAGAGAGCTCAACAAAGGCATAAATAAACATCAGTACCAGTACAAAGTATCAGTATCAATAGCTATATGTACCCATCTAGCTATCTATCCATCTATCTACGTACCTACCTACCCACTCACCACCCACCCACCCACCTACCTACCTTTTGCCTGCGTGCCTGCCTGCCTACCGATTTACCGACCTACCAACCTACGAATTGCCAACCTATTAACCTACCAATCTACCAACCTACCAATCAACCAACCTACTTACCAACCAGCCAAACTACCTACCTACCTACCTACCTACCTACCTACCTACCTACCTGCCTACCTACCTACCTACCTCCCTGCC